AGTAGTGGCCACTGCCTCGTGAACAAGTACTTGCGATCGACAAGTTCTTTGCCGATCGTTTAGCTGCGGGTCATGTGAGGGAATCAACTTCCCCACGTAGCTCTCCGACCTTCTGTGTGCGAAAAGCAACAGGAGGGTGGCGGATAGTGCACGCGTTCAACAAATTGAACGCTGCAACGGTACCGGCTCAGACGCCGATACCGAGGAAGGACGTAATCATTGATGGTATGTCAAAGAGTACCATCTTTTCGTCCATGGATTTGATGGATGGCTTCTATCAAATCCTTATGCGGGAACGGGATATACCCTATACCGCAGTTAGCATGCCTAGCGGCATGCTCTGGGAATGGCTAGTAATGCCACAAGGGCTCAGTAAAGCCCCTGCCTCTTTCAACAGATGTGATACACATCTGTTGAGGCCAGTACGAGAATTCGCGCCGAGTTATTTCGATGACGTATTCATCCATAGTCGAGCTATGGATGGAAAGTCGGACGTTGAGGTTCACAGGTACCACGTCCGACAAGTTCTTACAATCATGCGAAAGCATCAATTGTATGCAAACCTCAAGAAGTGTATATTTGCAGCAAGCGAAATACCACTTCTTGGGTGCATCGTTGGTAAGAACGGTGTACGTCCTGATCCTGAAAAGATCAAGGCGATCACCGACTGGCCTGTGCCGGTTGATGTCAAAGGTCTTCGAAAATTCCTTGGGCTAGCGGCGTATTTGCATAAGTATTCACGCAATTACGCCGAGATGACTGTGCACCTCTCTCGTTTGTTAAAAAAGAACGAGAGGTGGTGATGGAACGCTGAATGTCAGCGCTCCTTTGATGGTATCAAGCAGAGCTTGATACAATCCCCAGTCCTAGCAATTGCCGATCAGGACAGGCCATTTCATGTGGTCTGTGATGCCAGCGATTTCGCAATCGGCTGTGCATTAATGCAGTACGATCTTGAAGGCGTTGAACGCGTCGTCTGCTATCAGCCGGTTCAGCTGCAACCAGCTGAGCGGAACTATCCAGTGCATGACAAGGAACGCCTTGCCATGAAGTATGCACTCGCGAAGTTCGGAGTCTATCTATTAGGAGATAGACCCTTCATTGTTTACACTAACCATGCGTCATTACGCACGGCAGTAAACAGCCCGCACCTTTCACAACGAATGGCGCGGTGGTTGTCATTCTTTGCAGAATACAACTTTACGGTCGAGTACAAAAAAACCAAGACGACTTAATGTTGTCGCTGATGCACTCTCACGTCGTCCCGACTTTGAACCAGTCGTGAAACCCAACAGAGAGACAGTCACTGTTGCGGTTATGACGTCCTCAGTCCCATCTACAACGTTGTATGATGATGTGAGGCGGGCATACGCCCAAGATAGTGAGATTGTGAAGTTGTTGACACATCTCTCACAGCCATCTCGAGAATCGTTGAAACGATTATCGTCTGCGTATCGATCTGCATCAGATCGATACACTAACCGCAACGGGTTACTGTATTATACAGCCGTTTCTGGTTACACACCACGTGTTGTCATTCCAGATGATACTGATCTGCGTTTGCGGATCATGTTCGAGTATCACGATGCTCCTATAAGAGGACATCGTGGCTGTGAGAAGACATATCTCACGGTGAGTCGAGACTTTTACTGGCCCCTCCAGTATCAGTTTGTGCGAAAGTATGTTCGCGCATGCGAAGTTTGTCAACGAGTGAAGTCAAGTCCTTCACTGCGTGCACCTTTACAGCCTCTACCGGTTCCGGCTGAGTGCTGGGAATCCATCTCAATGGATTTTGTCTCCGGGTTACCCAAAGACGCACGCGGGAATACGGGTATTCTCATATTTGTTGACAGATTCAGCAAAATGGTACACCTTGTGGCTGTACCAGAGTCAATCACAGCAAGTGGCTGTGCTTGTGTCTTTATCGACACCATCTTCCGACTTCATGGGTTACCCCGTGAACTCGTATCAGACAGAGACCCACGATTCACTGCTGATTTCTGGCGTTCCGTGTTCAAATCACTCGGAACGCGCTTGAAGATGTCTACATATGATCACCCAGAGTCATATGGTCAGACGGAACGTGCCAATCGTGTCCTCGAAGAGATACTTCGAGGATACGTACACTCCTTCAAAAGTTGGAGTGAGTTTTTGCCAAAGGTAGAGTTTGCCATTAACAACTCGGTGCATGCGTCCACGACACATACACCGTTTTACGTGAATGGCTTACGCCATCCGCGTGTACCCACCTTACTAGAGTGTAACTCTGGTTTAAAGGGGGGGAGGGACTCGCGCGAGCAAAAACCGAATTGGTTCACGCTCATCACGCTCTGACGAAGAGGTCATTGCGTTTGATGCCGATATCGATAACATCGATATCGAAGAAGATGATGCCAGTGAGAGTGCGGAAGCCCTCACTGAAGAAAAGGTTGATGTTGCTGCAGTGCGCTCTCAGCGCACTGAAGCTAACGAGTCATCAGATGAGTTCATACTGGCTCGTGAAACGGTAGTCCGTTTTGTGCAAGACTCCATCGCCGAAGCGGTGGATAAGCAAAAGCAAAACGCTGACAAGAATGGAAGGGCAAACACTCTTTTATTTAACAAAGGTGACTTAGTCCTACTGTCTACGGTTAATCTACAAAAGCATGTAGTGACTAACTTGGGTAGCAGTAAACTACTACCCAAGTACATCGGCCCATTTCGTGTATTGCACCGCCTAGGCAATACATACACGATCGAGTTACCACGTAAGATGCGAACGCATCCCACGTTTTACGTTGGTCGGCTTAAGCCGTACCACCAGTAAGCTGCTTCTTCCGATGAAGAACGCCCTTGCGTTTAAGCATCTCGCAGAGAGCCTTGTGCTCCCGATGGTGGGCATCGACAAGGGTCTGAAGAGCGGTTATCTCAGCCCGAGACCGGTCAACGTCAACACGAGCTACCCTTAGCTCGTCACGCAGAGACGTCAAAGCTCTCTCGTTCTCAAGCTGAGCAAAGGCAAACTCAGCTCGATGCTTCAAGACAGTGTCCGCCATTTGGAGACGCCTGTCCCGCTCATGTTCGAGATCGCCGCGTAACCCTTGCGTTACGCGATCAAAGAAGCTCTCGGGAACACACGCTTCCCCACGATTGTGTGGAGAGCGTCTTCCCTCCTCCTCCACCTCCATTAGAGGACTCTCGCGGTGGCCAGCGCTATCTAGTTAAGCAGCTGTTGAACCACCGCGACGTGAACGGACGTCGGACGAGTTATCTCGTCCAGTGGCGCGGCTATCCCCCGTCCTGGGATTCTTGGGAGCCCCGCTCCCAACTGATGGTCGACGTACTGGGTCTGGTTGAGCAGTACGATGCGGCACATCCTGTCCCGCAAGAGGACCGCCGGAGAAAGACTTCCCGGCTCGGTCGTAAAGGGATTTCAGGTTTGCAATCCATTTGTACATCTCAGTAGAGACACGTACGCGCCACCACGGGGTGGTAAGGAGATAAGCCTCCTTACGCGCGCGCCAGAGTTGTTAACACAACGAGGGCACGAGTCTCCCCAAGAGAGGCAGGGTAATCCTTTCTCCTATGACAGACGATGCAGCTTGTAGCGTGCACCTGTCGGGGTTCGCTTTTCAAACTTATCACGAGCTTTGATAAGTTTGTCGTTCCAAGCGTCACGACCTACATCCTCAAGGTTATGGATGTAGGCGTTCCACGACTGAAGCAGTGAGGGACCATCACGCTTGTGATTCCCACTGTACCATCGATGTCTAAAGAAAGCATCAATGAAGAATTCATTCTCAGCACGATAGTTTTTCGCGCTGGGGTCAAGGTGATGGATCCTTGACGAATCGAACAATCGTGTTCGATAACGATCACTCGTCGTCGCCGACAAGTGATCCATGACAGATTTAGGAGGCATCCATGCCTTCTTCTCAGGAGCGAGATGCAACGCACTGCGGCCCCGCTCTTCCTGCGACGTGCCGACAGAAGGACTGGTACCTCGTTGAGAAGTGGTGTCAATAGGAGAACCGACACCACTGTTAGCGCCCGAGTCTCGCGACCGGGAGCGCCTACGCTTCGGCGATGGTTCATCTGATTCATCAGATGAACTAAAGATGCTACGACGCAAAGCATCATCCATGCCACGCTTGGCAGGCGGCTTGGATTCGATCGCCGTCGATACGGATCCGTCTTCTGTATCAGGAGAGTATGAGACACCGAGCTCATACTCTGTGAAGACATGAGTGTCTTCATGACGAGCGCCTGCATCACCAGAGGACGCAGGCTGAGTCGCTTCAGCAACCGATGAGACATCAGTTGCTGCGGTTTCTGCTTCGGCGTCCGCACAGAGACGTGCGGACGCGCTCTCGGCGGCCTTGCTCGCGCATCGCATGGACTTGTTAACCATACGATGAAATGTTGGAAAGTGGACTCGGACCAACAAGTGCAAACCCTGTCCCAAATGATTTAAGACGAGTATCCATTCAGTCAATCAGTCACTAAAGAGACTGATGGTTAAGGGGGGGGGTGATGTAACGGGGTGAATCGTTACATCACAATTTATAAGAAATTGTTAATAGAATATAACTATAAGAGTTATATTCTCAGAATATTGTCATAAGGACAAATATTCTGCAGCACTTACGAGTAGTTCCTAATTGGTTGATATATGCCATTATATCAACCAACGAAGACGCGCCACGACAGACGCACGCAATGAGTGGTGAGCAGATAACTGATTTAGACATTTGTATTTAGACATAGTTAGATGAAGATAAATAGGGATTTATTGCAGACATTAACTATACTAAATACAGTTCTACTTTTTACTTTAACCAAGTACTCGCTTCTTCTTACCGTCTTCCTCTGCACGTACGAGTGTACGTGAAGTTACGAGGCACCGCCTTTTTCTGTCATCAGAATAAGTAGCTTGTACTGTCACCAGTACAAGCTTCAGGGTGCCCCGTTACACCTGGTAGCACTTCGTAGTCCGTCCAAGGACCGCGCTCACATCTAACATGAATATGTTGGATGATGAAGATGACCAAAGCTTTCACGCTACGCGTGACGGCTACTCCCATTTGAGCGATGTCGAATGGGATGCGGTTGAACGAATGGGTTCGACCATGGGCATCCATGCTGTTAGCGTCATGCTAGAGGCTCTCAATAGAGATGCCCAAAATGCTACTATCGCCAAGTTCATTCAAAATGAACTTGACGCAGAACGCGAGAAAGTAGCCTTGCTTCACCAACAAGGTTCTCAACAAGCAGAGTTGTTGAGAGAACAGGGTGCTCAACAGTTTGAACTGTTGAGACAGCAGCAGGCTGCTGCTGGTGGGTCGATGCACTCGCGTCGACCCGAAACCTTGAAGATTGACATCTCATAGTATAGGGGAGTCGAATAGAACTCCCTCTTGAGATGGTTCGTCAACTTGGATGACGCCATAAGGGCGCGTCGCATCGACGACGGGGATATGCAAGTTGCATTTGCCCAGTCAAATCTGGCAGGACGTGCCAAGACTTGGGCACTGGGGCTCAAGTTGCACGACCCATATGCGTTTGGGTCGTTGGAAGTCTTCAAGTCGCGGCTCAGACAAACGTTTGAACCGCCTAGAGCTGAGTTCAGAGCTCGAACCGAACTCTTGAAGCTCAAGCAGGGTAAGCGTGATGTACACGCTTACGCTCAACATATACGACATCTCACGAGTTGTATAAGTTCCAATCCGGTTGATGAACACACGTTGGTTTCGGTGTTCATGCAGGGTCTTGCGGATGGTCCCGTCAAGACTCACCTGTTCCGACTTGAACTAGATTCACTAGAACAAGCCATTTCCATTGCGGAGCAGGAAGACTTCAGCCTGAGACAGGCTCGCGCCAGCTCGACATCATATCGTCAACCGAGACGATATGACAACGGAGGTCCAGAGCCGATGGAACTCTGTTATGTAGACAGCGAGAAGGCTCGCTCTACAGACTACAAGAAGTTGCAGAAATGCAACAGATGTCAAAAGACAGGACACTACGCTTACGAGCGTAGTGCCCCTCGTCCAGTGTCTCGCAACACTGGGCGTAGTGACCGTCCACCCATAAGAAAGGGGCAGGGACGCGGGTCCGCTGTTGGTGCAAAGACGCAACAACGGGATGGACCGTCAAAAAACGGACAGGATCAGTAGGTGCGGAGCACCCTACTGGTCCAGCAACGTCAAGAGAATTTGTAGGCCTCTTGATGAAGGTTGCTCCCGACACACAAACGTTGTGCGTTGCTGCTCTAGGTAATGAGGTCTCACTCATTACCTTGAAACTCGAAGTGACGAAGAAGTTGTCCCTTCGAGCTCCAGTCGATTGTGGGGCGTCCAGCAATTTTGTGCGACGCCAATCGCTAGAAGATGGTCACTTTAAGTTCAGTGAATGTGACACACCTCCTACGAGGATGACGGTACGTCTTGCGACAGGCGCATCCGTAACCGTCATGAAGCGTATAGTGAAGATCCACTATACGCTAGAAGATACCCAATATGACGATGACTTTATCGTATTGGATTTGGATGACAAATTTGATGTCATCCTTGGAATACCGTGGCTCAGAAGGTACGAACCACGAGTAAACTGGCAACATCGGACAGTAACGATGCCTGCCGCTTGTTCATCAGATGGCCATCTGATGAACGTTTTGGAGCGTCCACAAGCGTGTGGATGTACTACGAGTGAGTGCGATGGCCTCACTTGTGGTACGGTCGTTAGTACGACTGCACAAAACCTTAGTGTGACAAACGGTTACACTTCGGAGCAAAGTTCCGGCGGCTGTGAGGAAACACAGGCTGCGCCGAAGGTCCACCACACGAATAAGTCGGGCGGACTGGGACAAAGATGTATCCCTAGCGGGGAACATCTAGATGAGAAACAATCGATCGCTCAGGTTAAGCGAAACGATAATCCTAGATCGACTAGAGAGTCTTTCGTAGAGGATCTCGCTGTGGTTACGCAACCCCAGCTAGAGGAAGTAAAGGGAATAAGTCCCAAGATTACAAATACGGCGGAAATAAGTTCCCCGAAACCCGCGGGAATAAGTCCCCGGGAAGCCGAAGGAATAGATTCTTCGAGGCCTGAGGGAATAAGTCCTCAGGAAATGACAGAGACATAGAATGTCATAGTCAATAACGGATCAAGTGTAGGCGCTTATACACTTGATCTGATTGCGCCTCCGAAGTTGACTTCGGAGATCACTCAGTTGCCAACGCTCGAACATAAAAGGTTCTTGCGTGATCTGCGTAGTGGCAAAGTCAAGCAGATCTGCGTACTCGTCGCTGACGACGAGTGTGTAGCCGACATAAGGTCAGCAACAGTGTTCACCGAGAACGAGAGAGTTCTCAGTAGTTCATTTATGGACGAGACTGTCCTAGATGAAAAGACACAAGTTGAGCGATATGACTCCCAATCATGGGAATCGCTCAAGACAAATCCTCTCTATGAAGATTTGGTTGAATTCAAGGATGCATTCCCTGAAACTGTTCCGTGCGAGTTACCGAAGGATAAAGGTATTCGACACGAGGTCGAGCTTAAACCAGGATCGAAGCACTGTGTCGTGAAGTAGTGGCCACTGCCTCGTGAACAAGTACTTGCGATCGACAAGTTCTTTGCCGATCGTTTAGCTGCGGGTCATGTGAAAAGGGAATCAACTTCCCCACATAGCTCTCCGACCTTCTGTGTGCGAAAAAAGCAACAGGAGGGTGGCGGATAGTGCATGCGTTAAACAAGTTGAATGCTGCAACGGTACCGGCTCAGACGCCGATACCGAGGAAGGACGTAATCATTGATGGTATGTCAAAGCGTACCATCTTTTCGTTCATGGATTTGATGGATGGCTTCTATCCAATTCTTATGCGAGAACGGGAGATACCCTATACCGCAGTTAGCACGCCTAGCGACATGCTCTGGGAATGGCTAGTAATGCCACAAGGGCTTAGTAATTCCCCTGCCACATTCAACAGATGTGATACACATCTGTTGAGACCAGTACGAGAATTCGCACCGAGTTATTTTGATGAAGTATTCATCCATAGTCGAGCTATGGATGGAAAGTCGGACGTTGAGGTTCACAGGTACCACGTCCGACAAGTTCTTACAATCATGCGAAAGCATCAATTGTATGCAAACCTCAAGAAGTGTATATTTGCAGCAAGCGAAATACCACTTCTTGGGTGCATCGTTGGTAAGAACGGTGTACGTCCTGATCCTGAAAAGATCAAGGCGATCACCGACTGGCCTGTGCCGGTTGATGTCAAAGGTCTTCGAAAATTCCTTGGGCTAGCGGCGTATTTGCATAAGTATTCACGCAATTACGCCGAGATGACTGTGCACCTCTCTCGTTTGTTAAAAAAGAACGAGAGGTGGTGATGGAACGCTGAATGTCAACGCTACTTTGATGGTATCAAGCAGAGCTTGATACAATCCCAAGTCCTAGCAGTAGCCGAACAGGACAGGCCATTTCGTGTGTTCTGTGATGCCAGCGATTTCGCAATCGGCTGTGCATTAATGCAGTACGACCTAGAAGGCGTTGAACGCGTCGTCTGCTATCAGCCGGTTCAGCTGCAACCAGCTGAGCAAAATTATCCAGTGCATGACAAGGAACTCCTTGCCATGAAGTATGCACTCGCGAAGTTCAGAGTCTATCTATTAGGAGATAGACCCTTCATTGTTTACACTGACCATGCGTCATTACGCACGGGAGTGAACAGCCCGCACCTTTCACAACGAATGGCGCGGTGGTTGTCATTCTTTTCAGAATACAACTTTACGGTCGAATACAAACCAGGACGACTTAATGTGGCGCTGATGCACTCTCACATCGTCCCGACTTTGAAACAGTCGCGAAACCCAACAGTGAGACAGTCACTGTTGCGATTATGACGTCCTCAGTACCATCTTCAACGTTGCATGATGATGTGAGGCGGGCGTATGCCCGAGATGGTGAGATTGTGAAGTTGTTGACACATCTCTCACGGCCATCTCGAGAATCGTTGAAACGATTGTCGTCTGCGCATCGATCTGCATCAGATCGATACACTACTCGTAACGGTTTACTGTACTATACAGCCGTTTCTGGTGACACACCACGTGTTGTCATTCCAGATGATACTGATCTGCGTTTTGCGGATCGTGTTCGAGTATCACGATGCTCCTATAGGAGGACATCGTGGCTGTGAGAAGACATATCTCACGGTGAGTCGAGACTTTAACTGGCCCCGCCAGTATCAGTTTGTGCGAAAGTATGTTCGCGCATGCGAAGTCTGTCAACGAGTGAAGTCAAGTCCTTCACTGCGTGCACCTTTACAGCCTCTACCGGTTCCGGCTGAGTGCTGGGAATCCATCTCAATGGATTTCGTCTTCGGGTTACCCAAAGACGCACGCGGGAATACGGGTATTCTCGTATTTGTTGACAGATTCAGCAAAATGGTACACCTTGTGGCTGTACCAGAGACAATCACGGCAAGTGGCTGTGCTTGTGTCTTTATTGACACCATCTTCCGACTTCATGGGTTGCCCCGTGAACTCGTATCAGACAGAGACCCACGATTCACTGCTGATTTCTGGCGTTCCATGTTCAAATCACTCGGAACGCGCTTGAAGATGTCTACATATGATCACCCAGAGTCAGATGGTCAGACGGAACGTGCCAATCGTGTCCTTGAAGAGATACTTCGAGGATACGTACACTCCTTTAAGAGTTGGAGTGAGTTTTTGCCAATGGTAGAGTTTGCCATCAACAACTCGGTGCATGCGTCCACGACACATACACCGTTTTACGTGAATGGCTTACGCCATCCGCGTGTACCCACCTTACTAGAGTGTAACTCTGGTTTAAAGGGGGGGAGGGACTCGCGCGAGCAAAAACCGAATTGGTTCACGCTCATCACGCTCTGACGAAGAGGTCATTGCGTTTGATGCCGATATCGATAACATCGATATCGAAGAAGATGATGCCAGTGAGAGTGCGGAAGCCCTCACTGAAGAAAAGGTTGATGTTGCTGCAGTGCGCTCACAGCACACAGAAGCTAACGAGTCATCAGATGAGTTCACACTGGCTCGTATAACGGTAGTCCGTTTTGTGCAAGACTCCATCGCCGAAGCGGTGGATAAGCAGAAGCAAACGCTGACAAGAATGGAAGGGCAAACACTCTTTTATTTAATAAAGGTGACTTAGTCCTACTGTCTACGGTTAATCTACCAAAGTATGTAGTGACTAACTTGGGTAGCAGTTAACTACTACCCAAGTACATCGGCCCATTTCGTGTATTGCACCGCCTAGGCAATGCATACACGATCGAGTTACCACGTAAGATGCGAACGCATCCCACGTTTTACGTTGGTCGGCTTAAGCCGTACCATCAGTACGCTGTTTCTTCCGATTAAGAACGCCCTTGCGTTTAAGCATCTCGCAGAGATCCTTGTGCTCCCGATGGTGGGCATCAACAAGGGTCTGAAGAGCAGCTATCTCATCCCGAGACCGATCAGCAATCCCACGAGCTACCCTTAGCTCGTCACGAAGAGATGTCAGAGATCTCTCGTTCTCAAGCTGAGCAAAGGCAAACTCAGCTCGATGCTTCGAGGCAGTGTCCGCCATTTGGAGACGCCTGTCCCGCTCATGTTCGAGATCGTCGCGTAACCCTTGCGTTACGCGATCAAAGAAGCTCTCGGGAACACACCGATCCACATGATCGTGTGGAGAGCGTTTTCCCTCCTCGTTTACCTCGATTGGAGGACTCTCGCGGTGGCCAGCGCTATCTAATCGAGCAGCTGTTGAACCACCGCGATGTGAACAGACGTCGGACGGGTTACCTCGTCCGGTGGCGCGGCTATCCCCCGTCCTGGGATACTTGGGAGCCCCGCTCCTAACTGATGGTCGACGTACTGGGTCTGGTCGAGCAGTACGACGCGACACATCCAGTGCCGCAGAAGGACCGCCGGAGAAAGTCTTCTCGGCACGGTCATATTAAGATTTCAGGTTGTCAATCCCTTCGTACATCTCAATAGAGATACGTACGCGCCACCATGGGCTAGTAAGGAGGTAAGCCTCCTTAGGTGCTCGTGCAGAGTTGTTCACACAACATGGGCATGGGTCTCCCCAGGAGAGGCAGGGTAACCCACCCTCCTTAGACAGGCGATGCAGCTTATAGCGCGCACCTGTCGGGGTTCGCTTTTCAAACTTATCACGAGCTTTGATAAGTTTGTCGTTCCAAGCGTCACGACCTACATCCTCGAGGTTATGGATGTAGGCGTTCCACGCCTGAAGCAGTGAGGGACCATCACGTTTGTGATTCCCACTGTACCATCGATGTTTAAAGAAAGCATCGATGAAGAAATATTTCTCAGCGCGATAGTTTTTCGCACTGGGGTCAAGGTGATGAATCCTTGGCGAATCGAACAATCGTGTTCGATAGCGATCACTCGTCGTTGCCGACAAGTGATCCATGACAGATTTAGGAGGCATCCATGCCTTCTTCTCGGGAGCGAGACGCAACACACTGCGGCCCCGCTCTTCCTGCGACGTGCCGACAGAAGTACTGGCACCTCGTTGAGAAGTGGTGTCAATAGGAGAACCGACACCACTGTTAGCGCCCGAGTCTCTCGACCTCGAGCGCCTTCGCTTCGGCGATGATTCATCTGATTCATAAGATGAACCAAAGATGCTACGACGCAAAGCATCATCCATACCACGCTTGGCAGGCGGATTGGATTCGATCGCCGTGATACGGATCCGTCTTCCGTATCAGGAGAGTTTGAGGTACCGAGCTCATACTCTGTGAAGACATGAGTGTCTTCATGACGAGCGCCTGCATCACCACGTGACACAGGCTGAGAAGCTTCAGCAACCGATGAGACATCAGTTGCTGTGGTTTCTGCTTCGGCGTCCGCACAAAGACGTGCGGACACGCTCTCGGCGGCCTTGCTCGCGCACCGCATGGGCTTGTTATCCATGCGATAGACTATTGGACTGTGGACTCGGACCAACAAGTGCAAACCCCGTCTTAAATAATTTGGGACGAGTATCCATTCAGTCAATCAGTCACTAAAGCGACTGATGGTTAAGGGGGGGTAATGTAACGGGGTGAGTCGATACATAACAATTTATAAGAAATTGTTAATAGAATATAAATTTAAGAGTTATATTCTCAGAATATTGTCATAAGGACAATATTCTGTAGCACTTACAAGTAGTTCCTAATTGGTTGATATAGGCCATTATATCAACCAACGAAGACGCGCCACGACAGACGCACGCAATGAGTGGTGAGCAGATAGTTGATCTACACATTTGTATTTAGACATAGTTAGATGAGGATAAACAGTGATTTATTGCAGACATTAACTATACTAAATACAGTTCTACTTTTTACTTTAACCAAGTACTCTCTTCTCCTTACCGTCTTCCTCTGCACGTACCAGTGTACGTGAAGTTACGAGGCACCGCCTTATTCTGTCATCAGAATAAGTAGCTTGTACTGTCACCAGTACAAGCTTCAGGGTGCCCCGTTACACCTGGTAGCACTTCGTAGTCCGTCCAAGGACCGCGTTCACATCCAACATGAATATGTTGGATGATGAAGATGACAAAAGCTTTCACGCTACGCGTGACGGCTACTCCCATTTGAGCGATGTCGAATGGGATGCGGTTGAACGAATGGGTTCAACCATGGGCATCCATGCTGTTAGCGTCATGCTAGAGGCTCTCAATAGAGATGCCCAACATGCTACTATCGCCAAGTTCATTCCAAATGAACTTGACGCAGAACGCGAGAAAGTAGCCTTGCTTCACCAACAAGGTTCTCAACAAGCAGAGTTGTTGAGAGAACAGGGTGTTCAACAGTTTGCACTGTTGAGACAGCAGCAGGCTGCTGCTAGTGGGTCGATGCACTCGCGTCGACCCGAGACTTTGAAGATTGACATCTCCAAGTATAGGGGGGTCGAATAGAACTCCTTCTTGAAATGGTTCGTCAACTTGGATGACGCCATAAGGGCGCGTCGCATCGACGATGGGGATATGCAAGTTGCATTTGCCCAGTCAAATCTGGCAGGACGTGCCAAGACTTGGGCACTGGGACTCAAGTTGCACGACCCATATGCGTTTGGGTCGTTGGAAGTCTTCAAGTCGCGGCTCAGACAAACGTTTGAACCGCCTAGAGCTGAGTTCAGAGCTCGAACCGAACTCTTGAAGCTCAAGCAGGGTAAGCGTGATGTGCACGCTTACGCGCAACATATACGACATCTCACGAGTTGTATAAGTTCCAATCCGGTTGATGAACACACGTTGGTTTCGGTGTTCACGAAGGGTCTTGCGGATGGTCCCGTCAAGACTCACCTGTTCCGACTTGAACTAGATTCACTAGAACAAGCAATTTCCATTGCGGAACAGGAAGACTTCAGTCTGAGACAGGCTCGCGCCAGCTCGACATCATATCGTCAACCGAGACGATATGACAACGGAGGTCCAGAGCCGATGGAACTCTGTTATGTAGACAGCGAGAAGGCTCGCTCTACAGACTACAAGAAGTTGCAGAGATGCAACAGATGTCAAAAGACAGGACACTACGCTTACGAGCGTAGTGCCCCTCGTCCAGTGTCTCGCGACACTGGGCGTAGTGACCGTCCACCCATAAGAAAGGGGCAGGGACGCGGGTCCGCTGTTGGTGCAAAGACGCAACAACGGGATGGACCGTCAAAAAACGGACAGGATCAGTAGGTGCGGAGCACCCTACTGGTCCAGCAACGTCAAGAGAATTTGTAGGCCTCTTGATGAAGGTTGCTCCCAACACACAAACATTGTGCGTTACTGCTCTAGGTAGTGAGATCTCACTCATTACCTTGAAACTCGAAGTGACGAATAAGTTGTCCCTTCGAGCTCTAGTCGATTGTGGGGCGTCCAACAATTTTGTGCAACGCTAATTGCTAGAAGATGGTCACTTCAAGTTCATTGAATGTGACACACCTCCTACGAGGATGACGGTACGTCTTGCGACAGGCGCATTCGTAACCGTCATGAAGCGTATAGTGAAGATCCACTACACGCTAGAAGATACCCAATATGACGATGACTTTATCGTATTGGATTTGGATGACAAATTTGATGTCATCCTTGGAATACCGTGGCTCAGAAGGTACGAACCACGAGTAAACTGGCAACATCGGACAGTAACGATGCCTGCCGCTTGTTCATCAGATGGCCATCTGATGAACGTTTTGGAGCGTCCACAAGCGTGTGGATGTACTACGAGTGAGTGCGATGGCTTCACTTGTGGTACGGTCGTTAGTACGACTGCACAAAACCTTAGTGTGACAAACGGTTACACTTCGGAGCAAAGTTCCGGCGGCTGTGAGGAAACACAGGCTGCGCCGAAGGTCCACCACACGAATAAGTCGGGCGGACTGGGACAAAGATGTATCCCTAGCGGGGAACATCTAGATGAGAAACAATCGATCGCTCAGGTTAAGCGAAACGATAATCCTAGATCGACTAGAGAGTCTTTCGTAGAGGATCTCGCTGTGGTTGCGCAACCCCAGCTAGAGGAAGTAAAGGGAATAAGTCCCAAGATTACAAATACGGCGGAAATAAGTTCCCCGAAACCCGCGGGAATAAGTCCCCGGGAAGCCGAAGGAATAGATTCTTCGAGGCCTGAGGGAATAAGTCCTCAGGAAATGACAGAGACATAGAATGTCATAGTCAATAACGGATCAAGTGTAGGCGCTTACACACTTGATCTGATTGCGCCTCCGAAGTTGACTTCGGAGATCACTCAGTTGCCAACGCTCGAACATAAAAGGTTCTTGCGTGATCTGCGTAGTGGCAAAGTCAAGCAGATCTGCGTACTCGTCGCTGACGACGAGTGTGTAGCCGACATAAGGTCAGCAACAGTGTTCACCGAGAACGAGAGAGTTCTCAGTAGTTCATTTATGGACGAGACTGTCCTAGATGAAAAGACACAAGTTGAGCGATATGACTCCCAATCATGGGAATCGCTCAAGACAAATCCTCTCTATGAAGATTTGGTTGAATTCAAGGATGCATTCCCTGAAACTGTTCCGTGCGAGTTACCGAAGGATAAAGGTATTCGACACGAGGTCGAGCTTAAACCAGGATCGAAGCACTGTGTCGTGAAGTAGTGGCCACTGCCTCGTGAACAAGTACTTGCGATCGACAAGTTCTTTGCCGATCGTTTAGCTGCGGGTCATGTGAAAAAGGGAATCAACTTCCCCACATAGCTCTCCGACCTTCTGTGTGCGAAAAAAGCAACAGGAGGGTGGCGGATAGTGCATGCGTTAAACAAGTTGAATGCTGCAACGGTACCGGCTCAGACGCCGATACCGAGGAAGGACGTAATCATTGATGGTATGTCAAAGCGTACCATCTTTTCGTTCATGGATTTGATGGATGGCTTCTATCCAATTCTTATGCGAGAACGGGAGATACCCTATACCGCAGTTAGCACGCCTAGCGACATGCTCTGGGAATGGCTAGTAATGCCACAAGGGCTTAGTAATTCCCCTGCCACATTCAACAGATGTGATACACATCTGTTGAGACCAGTACGAGAATTCGCACCGAGTTATTTTGATGAAGTATTCATCCATAGTCGAGCTATGGATGGAAAGTCGGACGTTGAGGTTCACAGGTACCACGTCCGACAGGTTCTTACAATCATGCGAAAGCATCAATTGTATGTCAATCTCAAGAAGTGTATATTTGCAGCAAGCGAAATACCACTTCTTGGGTGCATCGTTGGTAAAAATGGTGTACGTCCTGATCCCGAAAAGATCAAGGCGATCACCGACTGGCCTGTGCCTATTGATGTCAAAGGTCTTCGAAAATTCCTCGGGCTAGCGGCGTATTTGCATAAGTATTCACGCAATTACGCCGAGATGACTGTGCACCTCTCTCGTTTGTTGAAAATGAACGAGAGGTGGTTATGGAACGCTGAATATCAACGCTACTTTGATGGTATCAAGCAGAGCTTGATACAATCCCAAGTCCTAGCAGTAGCCGAACAGGACAGGCCATTTCGTGTGTTCTGTGATGCCAGCGATTTCGCAATCGGCTGTGCATTAATGCAGTACGACCTAGAAGGCGTTGAACGCGTCGTCTGCTATCAGCCGGTTCAGCTGCAACCAGCTGAGCAAAATTATCCAGTGCATGACAAGGAACTCCTTGCCATGAAGTATGCACTCGCGAAGTTCAGAGTCTATCTATTAGGAGATAGACCCTTCATTGTTTACACTGACCATGCGTCATTACGCACGGGAGTGAACAGCCCGCACCTTTCACAACGAATGGCGCGGTGGTTGTCATTCTTTTCAGAATACAACTTTACGGTCGAATACAAACCAGGACGACTTAATGTGGCGCTGATGCACTCTCACATCGTCCCGACTTTGAAACAGTCGCGAAACCCAACAGTGAGACAGTCACTGTTGCGATTATGACGTCCTCAGTACCATCTTCAACGTTGCATGATGATGTGAGGCGGGCGTATGCCCGAGATGGTGAGATTGTGAAGTTGTTGACACATCTCTCACGGCCATCTCGAGAATCGTTGAAACGATTGTCGTCTGCGCATCGATCTGCATCAGATCGATACACTACTCGTAACGGTTTACTGTACTATACAGCCGTTTCTGGTGACACACCACGTGTTGTCATTCCAGATGATACTGATCTGCGTTTTGCGGATCGTGTTCGAGTATCACGATGCTCCTATAGGAGGACATCGTGGCCGAGAGAAAACATATCTCACGGTGAGTCGAGACTTTAACTGGCCCCGCCAGTATCAGTTTGTGCGAAAGTATGTTCGCGCATGCGAAGTCTGTCAACGAGTGAAGTCAAGTCCTTCACTGCGTGCACCTTTACAGCCTCTACCGGTTCCGGCTGAGTGCTGGGAATCCATCTCAATGGATTTCGTCTTCGGGTTACCCAAAGACGCACGCGGGAATACGGGTATTCTCGTATTTGTTGACAGATTCAGCAAAATGGTACACCTTGTGGCTGTACCAGAGACAATCACGGCAAGTGGCTGTGCTTGTGTCTTTATTGACACCATCTTCCGACTTCATGGGTTGCTCCGTGAACTCGTATCAGACAGAGACCCACGATTCACTGCTGATTTCTGGCGTTCCGTGTTCAAATCACTCGGAACGCGCTTGAAGATGTCAACATCTGATCATCCAGAGTCAGATGGTCAGACGGAACGTGCCAATCGTGTCCTTGAAGAGATACTTCGAGGATACGTACACTCCTTTAAGAGTTGGAGTGAGTTTTTGCCAATGGTAGAGTTTGCCATCAACAACTCGGTGCATGCGTCCACGACACATACACCGTTTTACGTGAATGGCTTGCGCCATCCGCGTGTACCCACCTTACTAGAGTGTATCTCTCGTTTAAGGGGGGGAGGGACTCGCGCGAGCAAAAACCGAATTGGTTCACGCTCATCACGCTCTGAAGATGAGGTCATTGCGTTTGATGCCGATATCGATAACATCGATGTCGAAGAAGATGATCCCAGTGAGAGTGCGGAAGCCCTCACTGAAGAAAAGGTTGATGTTGCTGCAGTGCGCTCACAGCACACAGAAGCTAACGAGTCATCAGATGAGTTCACACTGGCTCGTATAACGGTAGTCCATTTTGTGCAAGACTCCATCGCCGAAGCGGTGGATAAGCAGAAGCAAACGCTGACAAGAATGGAAGGGCAAACACTCTTTTATTTAATAAAGGTGACTTAGTCCTACTGTCTACGGTTAATCTACCAAAGTATGTAGTGACTAACTTGGGTAGCAGTAAACTACTACCCAAGTACATCGGCCCATTTCGTGTATTGCACCGCCTAGGCAATGCATACACGATCGAGTTACCACGTAAGATGCGAACGCATCCCACGTTTTACGTTGGTCGGCTTAAGCCGTACCATCAGTACGCTGTTTCTTCCGATTAAGAACGCCCTTGCGTTTAAGCATCTCGCAGAGATCCTTGTGCTCCCGATGGTGGGCATCAACAAGGGTCTGAAGAGCAGCTATCTCATCCCGAGACCGATCAGCAATCCCACGAGCTACCCTTAGCTCGTTAGGCAGAGATGTCAGAGCTCTCTCGCTCTCAAGCTGAGCAAAGGCAAACTCAGCTCGATGCTTCGAGACAGTGTCCGCCAGTTGGAGACGCCTGTCCCGCTCAAGTTCGATATCGCCGCGTAACGCTTGCGTTACGCGATCAAAGAGGCTCTCGGGGATACACGCTTCCCCACGATAGTTTGGAGAGCGTTTTCCCTCCTCGTTTACCTCGATTGGAGGACTCTCGCGGTGGCCAGCGCTATCTAGTTAAGCAGCTGTTGAACCACCGCGATGTGAACAGACGTCGGACGGGTTACCTCGTCCGGTGGCGCGGCTATCCCCCGTCCTGGGATACTTGGGAGCCCCGCTCCTAACTGATGGTCGACGTACTGGGTCTGGTCGAGCAGTACGACGCGACACATCCAGTGCCGCAGAAGGACCGCCGGAGAAAGTCTTCTCGGCACGGTCATATTAAGATTTCAGGTTGTCAATCCCTTCGTACATCTCAATAGAGATACGTACGCGCCACCATGGGCTAGTAAGGAGGTAAGCCTCCTTAGGTGCTCGTGCAGAGTTGTTCACACAACATGGGCATGGGTCTCCCCAGGAGAGGCAGGGTAACCCACCCTCCTTAGACAGGCGATGCAGCTTATAGCGCGCACCTGTCGGGGTTCGCTTTTCAAACTTATCACGAGCTTTGATAAGTTTGTCGTTCCAAGCGTCACGACCTACATCCTCGAGGTTATGGATGTAGGCGTTCCACGCCTGAAGTAGTGAGGGACCATCACGTTTGTGATTCCCACTGTACCATCGATGTTTAAAGAAAGCATCGATGAAGAATTCATGTTCAGCGCGATAGTTTTTCGCACTGGGGTCAAGGTGATGAATCCTTGGCGAATCGAACAATCGTGTTCGATAACGATCACTCGTCGTTGCCGACAAGTGATCCATGATGGATTTAGGAGGCATCCATGCCTTCTTCTCGGGAGCGAGACGCAACACACTGCGGCCCCGCTCTTCCTGCGACGTGCCGACAGAAGTACTGGCACCTCGTTGAGAAGTGGTGTCAATAGGAGAACCGACACCACTGTTAGCGCCCGAGTCTCTCGACCTCGAGCGCCTTCGCTTCGGCGATGATTCATCTGATTCATCAGATGAACCAAAGATGCTACGACGCAAAGCATCATCCATGCCACGCTTGGCAGGCGGATTGGATTCGATCGCCGTGATACGGATCCGTCTTCCGTATCAGGAGAGTTTGAGGTACCGAGCTCATACTCTGTGAAGACATGAGTGTCTTCATGACGAGCGCCTGCATCACCACGTGACACAGGCTGAGAAGCTTCAGCAACCGATGAGACATCAGTTGCTGTGGTTTCTGCTTCGGCGTCCGCACAAAGACGTGCGGACACGCTCTCGGCGGCCTTGCTCGCGCACCGCATGGGCTTGTTATCCATGCGATAGACTATTGGACTGTGGACTCGGACCAACAAGTGCAAACCCCGTCTTAAATAATTTGGGACGAGTATCCATTCAGTCAATCAGTCACTAAAGCGACTGATGGTTAAGGGGGGGTAATGTAACGGGGTGAGTCGATACATAACAATTTATAAGAAATTGTTAATAGAATATAAATTTAAGAGTTATATTCTCAGAATATTGTCATAAGGACAATATTCTGTAGCACTTACAAGTAGTTCCTAATTGGTTGATATAGGCCATTATATCAACCAACGAAGACGCGCCACGACAGACGCACGCAATGAGTGGTGAGCAGATAGTTGATCTACACATTTGTATTTAGACATAGTTAGATGAGGATAAACAGTGATTTATTGCAGGCATTAAGTATTATAAAAACAGTTTTACTTTTTACTTTAACCAAGTACTCTCTTCTCCTTATCGTCTTCCTCTGCACGTACCAGTGTACGTATAGTTCCGAGGCACCGCCTTGTTCTGTCATCAGAATAAGTAGCTTGTACTGTCACCAGTACAAGCTTCAGGGTGCCCCATTACAGACCCCGTCTCGGTGCTTGTGCATCATTGTTATAACCTGGCATGTTACCAGCTATCGTTTCCTACTGTGTGTATAGTTATCTACAGCAAGAGCACATAAAACGAAGATAAGGGTACTGTCGCATGGTTGCCGAAGCACGTGTACAATCGATCCACGTTTCATTCGTCGATTCGGCTTCAGTGTAGCTAAGAATCAACTCAACATTGAGTAGACAAGCAGCCGCGTGCCGCAGATGAAAGATCATGGCATCTATGCCAACAGCAGCTACTGCGTCTCGCTAAATTGTTGCGTGATCGGTCCATAGAAGAACACGGATGAAATCAGCATTACGTTAAGAGGATTCGTGCCGTTCAACGTGCCGTTGTAACCGCACATGCAACACGCCTAATTATCACGCGAACTCGTCAAATAGATCTTCTTCTTACTGAAATTGACCTTCGTCCTTCGCATATCGCATGCCACTATCACAAACACAACTTCAACCGTAAGTAAAATGACAACCATTCGACTTCACACAGCTGCTGCTAACGCTGTACACAGAATTTTAATCGACGCACGAAACACGGACATGCGCACGTCAAGCGTTGAGATGTTCGGTATTTGCTCTCATCTAAGTTTACAGCGCACCCGTCAAGCCTAAGCTCACCACCGAGAACTATCGGCCCTGCAAATAGATACTCTGCAGGCATCGCAGGTGTACACGTATCTTGACCGTACTCCCTTCTTCGTTCTATCTGTCATTGTGTTACGTCTCTACGACCCCGATTGTATTACGTCTACGATCTAGACTACCGTTTTCTGTCCCATTTCTGCAGTCACCGCTTTTATTCTCCGCGTAACTAAATTCGTGATCGGTACAGCACCGTCCCAAAGAATACGACGTGGTAAGAATACACCAACTCTTTTGATGACGGCAGTGGACAACGCTTCATACGCACAGACAAAACGTAAGTCGTTGGGACAGCTCAACAACAACTTCACAGTCAATATTGCTACATTCAGGCCATGGTCGGGTTTTCAGCGTTAGCCCATATCATCGATAATTGTGTCGTATATGATCCGTACTATCTGCGAATGTGCTAGAGATTTATGCCGCGCGGTCTTTCAGATCACCCTGGGGTGATTTGCGAGTACTCTGACTCAGTTTGAACTCCTTACAGGACCCGCACCCCTCATTACACTATGGGGCTTTTCGGCTTGTAGGGCCTCCGGACGGCACCGGCCACCCATTGGTGGTTGCTCGTCTACATTATTAGCCTATCTCCGGCGCCCTGTAATCGAACCCCCACCGGGTATCGATCCAGGTACCTCCCGGTCCCAGTTCCAGTGGTCTACCACTCGGCCACTGGGGTCGGTTCTGCGAATGTGCTAGAGTAGCATTGTTTATGTAGCGGAGCCACTTAGCGCCTTTTAACAGAGGAAGTATTAGACTCATATAGTCTCCTAGTTATAACATACCAACAACGACGTACAGTCGTTTGAGCGTACGAACTTATCTATCCCCGTTACAAAGGGATTACGATTCACAGAATCACACACTAACTAGATACTACTAGTTAAACATTAGTAAACGCCTCGACAAGGCTAATGCTCTCACAATACACTACGATTTTACTAGGCACTTGTGTCCAACGATTCAAAAGGGAAACTGTACTTTATTTATTCTTTAACTACGGTAATACGGCCATAAAACATTGCCTGACTGACTTCTATATAGCGATCATATGACAGATGGCATATCCCTTATCCCTACCCGATTAGGTGCGGTACTACCGTACGTACTTGGCTCCAAGAATTTACCACTCAGATCCATCGATCTTTACTTGGTGTGGACACACAACATAACTGGTTTGGTAACCGCGTGTAACCCTGTTACACTTTAACCCACCAGACTGTCGACACCCTTGTGTCGATTATTATTTACTTCTCTCTGAAATCTCCAGCTCTGATCCTTGACCAACGTGTTCACAACACATCCCAACGTGACTGAGTCAAAGCCTTCATTCAACAATCTTACAGAATTTCTCGAAGAGGGTATGGTGGACTACGAGAGTGACACCGCCGCGTCGAGTATCTACGACAATTTTCCAGATTCTCCACCGGCGCATGCCACCGTGCGCATCGCGCCTAATCCAGTCGTGGAACTTGATTAGGTACCTTCACCCCTTGCACAGCGTGGAGCCGTCGACCCTGCGTTGGGTGTGTTTCACAACACACTTGATGGAGATCAGGATCAAAATCTTCAGTCGTTCGATGACCGCAGGCGTCAAGAACAATGCGTAGCCACAGCGTAGGCTCACAGTGTTTACTGCTTCACACGACCGAGTGTGGATGAACGCATTCGCCAGACTTCCGGGCAGTCACTCGCAACATGGATAACGAGACCCAAGGCTGCTACAGCCACAACACCAGCGAAGAGTGGGGCTTTCAGAGCGAGGCACCTGAAGGTCGAGTGAATGACCTTTCGAGATTACCTCGGCAGGCTGAATCTGCAAGCAAGAGGTGCTTCAGTGTCCGCCATGCGGACAGTACAAGCCGTTTTCTTTCCTGGTGATACAGAGGTGGAAATGATGTCGTCTTCACGCAGTGGGCTCACCGAGATCACCGTCTGCCAAGCCTGTCGAATCTTTAAGAAAGCGTTTCATTTGCAGCCGTTCGGCTCGAACACAAGATGCGCTTTTATTCGCAAAGCAAAAGGACAAAGGCCAACTGTGATCGTTCTTTCGCACCCGATATACTGCGGCAGCTACGGACCCGCGCATCAGCTCCCCTTCTGCAGCTGCAACCCTCTCCACTCCAGCACCGACTGGTGGGAAGCGGTATATGTCGACTGACCCTGAATCACTTCAACGGCATACGGACAATCCTGCCTTAGTGGCACTTCGTACTCCCATGAGTTCTCCGACTCCGGCTACCCTCGTCACTGAACCAAGTACTAGTACTGACCGTCGCGACAACCTCGCTGCAGGGTTTGTTCAACATGATACTGCTGATCCTCTTGCTCGTCAACGAGAACAGGCAATGGTCGGTGCATCTCAACGCGTCTCCGACAAGTTAGCGTACGAGGTGCACGATCTGCATGACCGAATGGAGCGTCTTGAAGGACAACTGAATATTTTCCAAAAATTTTTTCTCGACTTGTGGCATCGCCAACACTTTCGGCGCAAGAGTCTCGTGATACATTAGCGAAGGATCAAGGTAGGCTTAAGCAAACCGACGTAAAACAGTGAGTGTGTCCGCATCTTGCGTGGGACGTTGAGCGTCTAAGCTAGGCCCTTCTTGGCCACAACCGTAAACGGCCCGATGAATCGAGGACGCAACTTGGTCCCGCAAACCGCTGACACCACCTTGGTAGATAGATTCTTAGCGTTAAGTAAGAGTAAGTCTCCGGCTTTATATTTCTAAACACACTTTATGCCTTTGGCATCAGCTTGTTCCTTTTGTTTGTCCTAGCTATCAGCCATTGCATCTCGTACATGTCGTAAGAAATTCAATCGCGTAGCGAGAAACTCGTTCACCTGTTTTTAAACAGTTGTTGGTGTGACAGCAGCAAGCCAGTCGGTTATTCCTCCCCCACAAAGCCCAGAACGTCGTAGTGGAAGCATTAACGGAACGCGTGGGTGAGTGAGACCAATTACGTAAAATGAAGTAAATCCTATAGATGAATGAACAGCGTCATTTTACGCAAAATAGACCACATGGAATATAGAGCTCCAACGCCTAGGCGCATCAGCCCAAACACTGCCCAAAATGTCACCAATGACATGGTTTACACGCTCCGTTTGACCATCGGTCTACCAATGATCCGCTGTGGACATGTCCAACCTGGTGCCTAGCACCTTGAAGATGGAAGTCCAAAACTTGCCAGTGAATGTGGATCACGATCCAAGACAATTGCCATAGGCAAACCGTGTTCACGAAACACACGGTCGATAAACAGCTGTGCTGTACCTTCGCCATCGATGGAATCAGGCACAGCCGCTAAATAAGACGTCTTGCTCAAATGGTCAACAAATACCACGATACCAGTGTTTCCTTCCGAGTCCTTCGGTAGGTTAAACACAATGTCCATACTGATAGAATCCCAACACCACGTGGTAAGTAAACTAGCAAGCGGGTGCAACCGCATGTATAGAGGGTTTGACTTGTTGACACGTTTCACGTGCACGCACAT